CTGGCCTCCCATACTCTCTTGCTCAGAGTGCTTCAGACGAGGAAAAGAAATATGGATGTTTAACGGCAGAAGCAGCCTCCCCGGGGGGCTCCAGGGAGGAGTTCTTTATATACGAGTAAGAGTGTGTAGAAGACAAGGTTACCTCATTCAAGACAGGGTTTCTATCAAGGAGAGGGCATGGGGTGGGAAAGGGTCTGGAAAATCCGTTGGGGGGGCGAAGTGGAAATGAGGGTTCAATGTTAGTCCAGTCATTGAAACTTAAGCGGTAGTCCCTCATTTCTTCCAAATCCCTCTGTCCCTCTCCCCTGTCTCCACTCCATTTACTCTTGCAATCCAGGGAGGAGTTCTTTATATATGAGTAAGAGTGTGTAGAAGACAAGGTTACCTCATTCAAGACAGGGTTTCTATCAAGGAGAGGGCATGGGGTGGGAAAGGGTCTGGAAAATCCCTGGGGGGGGCGAAGTGGAAACGAGGGTTCAATGTTAGTCCAGTCATTGAAATTTGAAACTTAAGCGGTAGTCCCTCATTTCTTCCAAATCCCTGTCCCTCTCCCGTCTCCACTCCATTTACTCTTGCAATCCATCCTTCTCTCTCCCCTTCCAGCCAGTCCGTGCAAAATGCTGTGATCCGTCTCCTGACATCTCCTACTTGTTTAAAATGTTCTAGCTGTGCTTTTGTGTCTAGCCATCTTTGTGTGAGTTTGAAGTGTACCTGCTGCTGAATCTGTTCGGTGATTTCTGGCTCCTCTACTCTCACCTTTTCCATGGTAAGCATGCATCGCTGCCACCAGAGTGCCCATATCACTGCTCTCATTCCAAGTCTGAACATATTCTCTATGAAGGTCGTGGCTGCTTCTGCCTGTGGCCAGTGACCAGCCAATATGGTTTGCCAGGACCAAGGCCAAGGAGTTGCGGATTCCATCTTTCTCCAAACGCGATCCCACCATCTCCATATGAATTGGGCGATTGGGCATTGCATGAAGATGCGTTCGACAGTTTCCGCCTTCTTGTTGAAAGGAAAAAGGCTCTGGCATCTGTGGCACCACGGGAGCAGCAGACCCTTTTGTTCTAAATCAGTACGGTCAGTCAGCCGTTTGTTGGCAAGCAGCGGTGGGCAATCTGCCATTGCAGGGATGTGATTTTCATAGGTTTGACTTTTTGTTCTTGGAGCCATCTAATTGGAGATAATAGGGAGCGGTCCACGTTTAGGTGTCTGGCCCATCGATCGTTTCCTTCCCGCCGACGAAGTTCGAAGCCCAGCCGTCGTCATCGAGCTGCCCGTAGTCATCGACCTGCCCGTCGCCATCGACCCACCCCTGGCCCGTCGTCATCGAGCTGCCCCTGCCCCGTCGTCATCCAGGTGCCCTCCACGCAGAGCCGACCTCCTCCTCCTCCTCGCACGGAGCTCGCATCCTGCTGTCCGTCGTCGAGCTGCCACAAAGTCGTTAACCTGCCCATCATCGAGGTGCCGACCTCCTCCTCCTCCTCGTGCGGAGCTCCCATCGCGCCGCCCATCGTCGACTTGCCACGTAGTCCTCTATCTACCCGTGGTGGAGGTTCCGGCCTCCACCTCCTCCTCGCGTGCAGCCGACCTCCTCTCGTCGTCTTCTTCTTCTTCACTCCTCCTCCTCCTCCTCCTCCTCTCCTCTTCTTCTTCTTCTTCTTCTCTCCTCCTCATTTCATCTTCTTTTCTCTCCTCCTCCTCATTTCGTCTTCTTTTCTCTCCTCCTCCTCCTCCTCCTCCTCTCGTCTTCGTCTTCTTCTCTCCTCCTCATTTCGTCTTGTTTTCCCTCCTCCTCCTACATCAGCGTTTTTTTTTTCTTTTTTTTCCCCTCGTCGTCGCCAGACACAACCGGCACCTCCTCCTCCTCCTCCTACTCTGGTCTTCTTCTCCTCCTCTCCTTCTCTTCCTCCTCATTTCGTCTTCTCTTCTCTCCTCCTCCTCCTCTCGTCTTCTTCTCTCCTCCTCCTCTCATCGTCTTCTTCTTCACTCCTCTTGCTCCTCATTTCTTCTCTTCTTCTCTCCTCCTCCTCTCATCGTCTTCTTCTTCACTCCTCTTGCTCCTCATTTCTTCTTCTTTTCTCTCCTCCTCTCATCTTCTTCTTCTTCTCCCCGCCTCCTCCTCATTTCGTCTTCTTCTCTTTTCCCTTCCTCCTCCTCCTCCTCCTCTCGCCGCCTTCTTCTCCTCTTCTCTTCCTCCTCATTTCGTTTTTTTCTCTTCTCTCCTCCTCCCCCCCCCCCTCCTCCTCTCGTCTTCTTCTTCTTCTCTCCTCCTCCTCCTCTCTTCTTCTTCTTCTTCGCTCCTCTTCCTCATCGTCCTCATTTCGTCTTCTTCTTTTCTCTCCTCCTCCTCCTCCTCCTCTCTTCTTCTCCTCTCCTCCTCATTTCGCCTTCTTCTTCTTCTCTCCTCCTCCTCCTCTCTTCTTCTTCTTCTCTCCTCCTCCTCCTCTCGTCTTTTTCTTTTTCTCTCCTCCTCCTCCACCTCCTCCTCTTGTCGTCTTCTTCTTCACTCCTCCTCTTCATCCTCCTCATTTCGCCTTCTTCTTCTCTCCTCCTCCTCCACCTCTTGTCTTCTTCTTCTTCTCTCCTCCTCCTCCTCCTCTTGTCTTCTTCTTCTTCTCTCCTCCTCATTTCGTCTTCTTGTTTTCCCTCCTCCGCCTCCATCGTTTTGTTTTTTTTTTCCTCGTCATCGTCAGACAATCAGCAGCTCCTCCTCTCGTCGTCTTCTTTTCCGCCTCCTCTTCCTCCTCCTCTTCCTCCTCATTTCGTCTTCTTCGCTTCTCTTCTCTTCTCTCCTCCTCCTCCTCCTCCAATGGCCTTTTTTCTTTCTCGACATCGCCATACAGAACTGGCAGCTCCTCCCCCTCCTCCTCCTCCTCCTTGTTCTCTCCTCCTCCTCCGCCTCCTACTCTCATATTTTTTTTTTTGAAGTCTGCTTCTTCTTTCTCCTCCTCCTTTCTTCCTCCTCCTTTCTTCCTCCTCCTTTCTTCCTCCTTCCTCCCCTCCTCCTGCTCCTCTCTTCTTCTTCTTCTCTCTTGTTCTTCTTCTCTCTTGTTCTTCTTCTTCTTCTTCTTCTTCTTCCTCCTCGTCCTCCTCCACCATATCCTACTGCCCGCCATCTCCCACTGCCCGCCATCTCCCATTCCTCTTTTTTTTTTCTTTTTCTGCTTGAACAATAGAAGGGAAGCGGGCAGACTGCAGTTCTTCTTCTCTTCTCTCCTCCTCCTCCTCCTCCTCCTCTCTTCTTCTTCTTCTCTCCTCCTTCACCTACTTTCGTTTTCTCCTTCTCTCCTCCTCCTCCTCCGCCTCCTCCTCCTTCATCGTCCTCTTATTATTATTTTCTTTTTCCGTCATCCCCATACACTACCTGCTCAGCGGACTGGCTGCTGCAACACACCCTTTTACTGGCAGGTCCTCCTCCTCCTCTAACCCCTCCTCTCAGCGAACTGGCTGCTGCAACACACC